ATGCAATTGAAAAACCTGACTCTAGGAGAGAACATTATGGCAACCTTAGAAAAAATTTTAGTGAGTATAATTGGACAGACTTGTTCCTAGGCAAGGAGGTGAATGAGATGTATGTCAAGTTTTGTGAAATGTATGATAAAGGCACAAAAAAATTTATACCAAAACAGAGATGCAGAACTAGGAAACAGGATTGGTTCAACAGAAATTGCGAGAAGGCCAGAGACCAAAAGACACAAAAATGGAATCGATACAGGAAGAGGCCAAACCCCCAAACATACCAGCGATACAAAGATGCGAGAAACAACTACATGGCAGTGAGGAGAGAGGCAGAAAGAAATTTTGAAAAAGGGATTGCAGACAAATGTAAAACAGAACCAGGTCTATTCTATAAATTCATAAACAACAAATTGCAGGTAAAGGATAATATTCAGAGGTTGAAAATGGGAAATAGATTCACGGAAAATGAAAAGAAATGTGTGAAATATTAAACGAAAAGTTCCAAAGTGTGTTTGTACAAAATGAAATCTTCAGGGAACCAGTTACAATAAGAATTCCAGAGAACAACATAGAGCACATAGAGGTGTCTAGAGACGAAGTGGAAAAAATGCTCAAGGAGCTAAATAAGAACAAAGCAGTTGGTCCAGATGGAGTTTCACCATGTGTTCTGAGAGAATGTGCACCTGAGCTCAGCATTCCACTTCAACTGATCTTTCAGGCATCCCTGTTTACAGGAGTTGTAGCTGATGTGTGGAAAAAGGCTAACATAGCTCCAATCTACAAAAGTGGAAGCAGGGAAGACCCCCTTAATTATAGACCGATATCATTTACAAGTGTAATAGTCAAAATATTGGAAAAAATAATTAAAACTAAATGGGTAGAACACCTGGAGAGAAATGATATAATATCAGACAGACAGTATGGTTTTCGATCTGGAAGATCCTTTGTATCGAATTTACTCAGTTTCTATGATCGAGCAACAGAGATATTACAGGAAAGAGATGGTTGGGTTGACTGCATCTATCTGGACCTAAAAAAGGCTTTCGACAGAGTTCCACATAAGTGGTTGTTCTGGAAACTGGAAAATATTGGATGGGTGACAGGTAAGCTTCTAACATGGATGAAAAATTTTCTGACAGAAAAATGAGGGCAGTAATCAGAGGCAATGTATCGGACTGGAGAAATGTCACAAATGGAGTACCACAGGGTTCAATTCTTGCACTAGTGATGTTTATTGTCTACATAAATGATCTACCAGTTGGTATACAGAATTATATGAACATGTTTGCTGATGATGCTAAGATAATAGGAAGGATAAGAAACTTAGATGATTGTCATGCCCTTCAAGATGACCTGGACAAAATAAGTATATGGAGCACCACTTGGCAAATGGAATTTAATGTTAATAAATGCCATGTTATGGAATGTGGAATTGGAGAACATAGACCTCACACAACCTATATATTATGTGAGAAATCTTTAAAGAATTCTGATAAAGAAAGAGATCTAGGGGTGGTTCTAGATAGAAAACTATCACCTGAGGACCACAAAGAATATTGTGCGAGGAGCCTATGCTATGCTTTCTAACTTCAGAATTGCTTTTAAATACATGGATGGCGATATACTAAAGAAATTGTTCATGACTTTTGTTAGGCCAAAGCTAGAATATGCAGTTGTTGTGTGGTGCCCATATCTTAAGAAGCACATCAACAAACTGTAAAAGGTGCAAAGACATGCTACTAAGTGGCTCCTGGAGCTGAAGGGTAAGAGCTACGAGGAGAGGTTAGAGGCATTACATATTCCAAAACTAGAAGACAGAAGAAAAAAAGAGGTGATACGATCACTACATACAAAATAGTAATAGGAATTGATATTTCGATAGGGAAGATTTCCTGAGACCTGGAACTTCAAGAACAAGAGATCATAGATTTAAACTAGCTAAACACAGATGCTGAAGAAATATAAGAAAATTCACTTTCGCAAATAGAGTGATAGACGGTTGGAACAAGTTAGGTGAGAAGGTGGTGGAGGCCAAGACCGTCAGTAGTTTCAAAGCGTTATATGACAAAGAGTGCTGGGAAGACGGGACACCACGAGCGTAACTCTCATCCTGTAACTACACTTAGGTAATTACACACCACCTCTGGTGCAATTGCAGGGACCCACAGCCTTAAAGAAGGCAACACAGAGTACTCAGAGAAAAATGTGCCATTTAACTCTGAATGTGTATGAATGTTCACTTCTCCTACCACCCCCTTCAATCCCTGAAAGATTTGAACCCAGGCAGCCAGGGCTGCATGCACCTTAGTGTATCCAGTACTTAACCCACTAGACCCCACTGGCTGCTCAAAAGGATTCAGACCTTTATCCCCCTACAGCATTCGGTTGTCAAATTTCGGGACAGATATATCATCAAATCACCTCACATTGGGGCCACATAAGTATCACAAATACGAAGAAGCTTTAAGTTTTGCAGTCGAATTTGCGTTACTCACATGGCCCCAACATGCGAGGTGATTTGATGAAATATGTTTCCAAATTTGACCACAGAGTGCTGTTGGGGGTGTTGGGTTAAGGGTCTGATGACTTCCAGTCCTTTTAAACAGTCATTGTGGTCTAGTGATTTAAGTACTGGATACCCTGAGATGCATGGAGCCCTGACTGTCAGGGTTCAAATCCTATAGGGGCGAGAAGTTTTCGGTTGCATGTTGGCTTGAAGACCATTCAAGCTTGTTCGCATATATACATAATATGTATGTTGTACCTACTAGCCAGAACACACTACTTGGGCTAAGTATTACAGGACTCGATTTGCCTAGCAAAGTGAATTTTCCTGAAATTATATATTTTTATAACAAAAAATTTTACATTTTTCTGTGGAAAGATTAATCTTACCATTATATTATATGTGATTTCATTAATTATTTGGAGTTCAAACTAAAGTATAAATATGACCAAACTTAACCTAACATAACTAAGTCAGTAAATCATGTGCTTATAATATTATTTATTAAATTTTATTATATTTTCTGGGGGGAGCCCCCTTCGGCTCTCCGGAGCTTACTAGGCTGATATGCTAATGTCAGACTATGGCATCAGTCATGTGTATGGAGTTCTTATGGGCCTACTGGGGACCACAAGCCAAACCTGGCCCCCCTGTAAAGAGGCAAGGGGAGCAATGGCCTATAGAAACCCCCGTGTAATTGGAAACATTCTATGTCTGCCATCGACTGGGTTAGGCACCCAGTAAAGTAGGCGTTCCAAAACAAACTCCTATTCTGGTAAAAATTGCAACCCAAAGCCGAACGCGTGGATAGAACTCCCCAAACAAAATTGAGCAAACTAGTATGCCGTCATCCGTTGTCGTGCTGCTGTCTGCGCCCCCCCGCCCCCCCCTCCCCGGGAGAAGGAAGGGGCAGCCCCAGACCTACTGCGCCGGCAATACACACCCCCAGTTCTTGAGGCTGATGCTTGGTTAGTTCGGCCAGGGGTGCATCATGTTTTGTGTCCGGTTGCGGTTCTCCGCCGTTATTTGCGCGTCACGGTTTCTGTGTCCATGGATGAGCTTTGGGTTGATCTGGTTTCCCTTCTTCCCTGTTCGAGGGTGCGGGTCTCCCAGGTCGTCCGCAGGGTTATTGAGGCCAGCCAGCCTGCGGTATATTCCCGTGCCGATGACGTCTGCAAGTTCGCAGCTCTTGCCGCCGTCTTTGGCAATATGTCCTGGGCTGACATTCGGGCGTGGGGATTTTGGTGATTGAACAGGGTCCTGGCTGCTCGTTACCTTGTAAACGTTCTTGGGCCCAGTCGGGCCTGTGTTGCTTTGGGTTGGCGGATGCAGCCAGTTGTCTCGACTTTGGGTTGAGGAGTGAGCAGCAACCGCCTCCCGGGTAAGTCCCTATTCTTTTCCTCTGTGGGTAGTTAGCTCCAGGGAACTGTAGGGGCTCCCCCCAGAAAACCAGCGTTGAATGTAATGAAATGCCATTTTCTGGGCGAGTCCCGGAGGCTCCCCGGCATCCCTCCCTCCCTCTCTCTGGTTGGCATTTTTTTCAAGTGTTTTTGACATCCAGTTTCAGAACTGGGGTGTGGATTGCCTGTGCGGTAGGTCTGGGGCTGCCCTTTCCCCCTCCCGGGTAGGGGGGGCTGCTCAGACAGCGGCGCGACGACGGGTGACGTCATACTAGTTTGCTCGTTTTTGTTTGGGGAGTTCTATCCACTCGTTCGGCTTTTGGTTGCAATTTTCACCAGAATAGGGGTTTGTTTTGGGATGCCTCCCTTTCTGGGTGCCTGACCCGGTCAATGGCAGACATAGAATGCTTCCAATTACACGGGGGTTTCTATAGGCCATTGCTCCCCTTGCCTTTCTAGAGGGGGCCAGGTTCTGGCTCGTTGTGCCCAGTAGACCCATAAGAACTCCATACACATGACTGATGCCAAAGTCTGACATTAGCATATCAGCCTAGTAAGCTCCGGGGAGCCTCCGGGACTCGCCCAGAAAATGACATTTCATTACATTCAACGCTAGTTTTTTTAAATAAAATAAATCACTGCCTGCTAGGCAAATTGGACCTTGCATATTTGTTAAAAGTTGTGCATTCTGACTATTAGGTACAATATATATTTATATATAATAGTATTTTGTATTTACCTACACATATTTGTATTTTGCTTCCAACTACATCTCTTAAGTAATATGTAAATTTTTTTGTCATATTTAGTTGTGTCATTTCTGAATAACATCATCAAATAAATTGGTTTGAAATTTATACTAGTATGTTATATATTCGAGTTACTGTTCAATATAAATATATATTTCAGTAGTTTAATATATAACAATATTCTTTAGCACATCATAAATTCTCGTGCATTTCACACCAGTTGTAATGACTATTGTGTAACTTGTATAATTTGTTATATAAAACTATATTTTTTATTTGTAATTTTAAGGATTGATACAGTGATACTGCATTATATGTGAGTGTAGTGATTATTTGTGGGTGTTGCAGTGACTACATGGACCGGTTCCTGGATGAAGGAGAAGGAGGTGGAGGTCCTGTGTCGTGGCGTGACAACCGCTCGTCCTCTCCCAGTCTCCACGCACTCTTGTATGGGCGTCCGCCTCCAGGAACCACTGCTGGAGCAGCTGGCGTTGGGGTGGAGATCTCCGCTCCTGCAACTGTTGCTCAACCTACCCAGTCCACTCCTGCAACACAAGTTAGTGGAGGCAATATTAACAAAGATGCCGAGACTTCGGTAACTTACTCTGGACTAAACCAGATGGAGGACTTGGCAAGGCACTTGGACCCCGACTCTCTGGAGTCCCTGGCCAAAATAACTTCTCCAAACGCTTCTGTATCAATTGCTAGAACTGCAAAAAGAACCACTAGTCCTCATCCTATGGATGTGGATTTATCTATATCACGTTCCTCCCTTCTAGCCTCACAAACAATTGGTGTAGAGGCTAAAAGTGTTGCAATGGCAGAAACTGTTGCACAGTGAAAATAAATATACTATTTGCCTTTTTAATATGTGTGAGTGGTGTGGTGGTTGTGAAAAGTGCAAGTGTTTGTTACCAGTGTTTCTGCCTGTGGATGTTAACAAGAGGACACACGCAGTCTGCCTTTTGTAATTTTAATGATCCAAGAACATTGAGGTGCAATCAGCCTGGTGAAGTTTTGCAGCTTTTGAGATGGTGTTAAGATCTATATAGCTCAGTGAAGTAAGCAAAATTTTTTATTTTTTATTTTTTTTTTCTAAAAAGTTGAGTAATAAGTGATATTGTTGAAGAACATTTTTATATATAACAGCTGTAAATCACAGGGATTTCATTCACCTCTCATAAATCACACCTGATATGTTATAGATTTTATATAGATATATATATATATATATATATATATATATATATATATATATATATATATATATATATATATATATATATATATATATATATATATATATATATATATATATATATATATATATATATATATATATATATATATATATATATATATATATATATATATATATATATATATATATATATATATATATATATATATAGATATATATATATATATATATATATATATATATATATATATATAGATATATATATATATATATATAGATATATATATATATATATATATATATATATATATATATATATATATATATATATATATATATATATATATATATATATATATATATATATATATATATATATATATATATATATATATATATATATATATATATATATATATATATATATATATATATATATATATATATATATATATATATATATATATATATATATATATATATATATATATATATATATATATATATATATATATATATATATATATATATATATATATATATATATATATATATATATATATATATATATATATATATATATATATATATATATATAGATAGTTACACCTAATAACCAGAATGCACTACTTGGTCTAGTATACAAGGGCCAATTTGCCTGATAGGCAGAGTGATTTTCATTATTTAAAAAAAAATTCCAATCTGTTTATTTGAATTAATATTATATTATATATTTAGAATAAGAATTACTGACTTAGTTACCCTAGGTTTAGATATGGACTTGATAATGGTACAGAAATGTCGTTGTCTCATCTTCTGGAGTGTGGTTTAGTTGTCTTAGGTTAGGTCATATTTCTACATTACTTGAAACTCAAATTAAAAAAATAAAATCATGTATAATGGAAAGTTTTATCATTCCATACAAAAATTGAAAAACAAATAGCTTCAGGAAAACTAGGCTTATTAGGCAAATTAGGCTTTGCATAGTAGGTAAAATAGTGCATTCTGGCTATTAGGTACAAAATATATATATATATATATATATATATATGTCGTATATAGCCAGAATCACTTCTAGCCTATATATAATATGAATAATATATTTACTATAATATGAAATGATAAAGCAATATGTATGATCAATATGGATATATAGATATATATATACCTACCTAATACCTATATATATAGGTTAGGTTAGGTACTAGGTTAGGTTAGGTTAGGTAGGTTAGGTAGACGAAAAAACATATTCATGAAAACTTGGCTTATTAGGCAAACTTGAATAGTATACAGGTACATATATATATATATATATATATATATATATATATATATATATATATATATATATATATATATATATATATATATATATTATATATATATATATATATATATATATATATATATATATATATATATATATCATACATATACATATACATACATATACATACATATACATACATATACATACATATACATACACATACATATACATATACATACACATACATATACATACACATACATATACATACACATACATACACATACATACATATACATACATACACATACATATACATACACATACATATACATACACACATATACATACACACACACATACACACACACATACACACACACACACACACACACACACACACACACACACACACACACACACACACACACACACATATTTATAAGAAACACACAAGAAATATAAGAAAGTTCACTTTCGTAAACAGAGTGATAGACGATTGGAACAAGTTAAGTGAGAAGGTGGTGGAGGCCAAAACCGTCAGTAGCTTCAAAGTGTTATATGGCAAAGAGTGCTGGGTAGACGGGACACCACGAGCATAGCTCTCATCCTGTAACTACTCTTAGGTAATTACACACACACACATATACATACACGCGCACACATGCATACATACAGTGGAACCTTGGTTCTCGAAAGCCCCGGTTCTCGTAATTTTCGGTACTCATGTTCGACTCGGTGTTTGGAATTTATTTATTCACGTCCAGGTCCACCAAGTGCGTGGCATCGTGGTGAGATTCGCCTCAGTTTACCAGCATCCTGCCGAGGTCATGACCGCGCTTGAATTCTTTGTGAAGAATTTCATTGTTTTCAGGCCTTTTCTGGGGGGAGCCCCTACAGCTTCCCGGAGCTATCCAGGCTGATGTTATGAATCCGTCTTCATTCAGGTTTGTATCTTCGTTTCCCTACTGGGTTCATTATGAGGTTTCGAAGTCGTCCTGGCTGGCAGGCTGTCCTGTGTTTGCTTTGGAGGCCTGGCATACCATTTGTCGTCCTCGTATACTCGAGTGGCGCGAGGCTTCTACAGTAGTTCAGGTTTTCCTGGGGGGCGAGTTTAAGCACCTCAGTGAGTGCTTGTTTGCCCCTGCCCTTCCTTGGGATGTTGGCTTTGTGCAGCTCCATGTGTAGGTTCTATCCCTTTCGGCTGCGCAGGTTGCTGAGGACTTGCACGCTCGTGGCCTCATGGCTTCGGCCTTGCGTTTCTTTTCCCTACTGGAGCTGTCTTCGAACTGCCTTCAGGAGGATGTGGGGACGCTGGGGGCTGTTCCTGGGTTCAGTGCCTTGGGCTTTGCGGCTCGCTCGTCATCTGCCTTGTTGAAGTTGTTTGCGCCGATCCTGCGGGATGTGGTTTTGCTGCTTTATGCTTCCCGGCTCACATGTCGGCAGGCGGTGTTTGCCTCCTCTTTGGAATCTGCCTGGGCCCTGGCTCTTAGAATGTCTTCACGTTTTTTAACCCCCCCCCTCCCTATTGTTTACTGATTCTGCAGTGCTCTGAATTTGCAGGCTGCCTCCGCTAGTAGTCCTATGTCCAACTTGTTGGTTCTCTGGGGACCCCCCCTTCCCGGTGGGGTCGTGCCAAGGCTCCGGGTTCCGTACATCGGGGTAGGCCACTGGTGCCAGTTTCGGGGCTGGCCCCGCCTTTGGACCCACCTTCGTCTGGTCGGCACAGCCTTACCCAGGTCGTGGTAGCCCGTCTGCATCTTAGACATTCGGGTGTTGGCCTACCTCTACGACTGGCTGGTCTGGGCTCCCAGCTGGTCCTCTTGCCTGCTATCCAGGGATTTGGTTCTTTCTCAGCTTGTCTGGTTCGGGTTCTTGATGAACTGGAGGAAGTCCCATCTGGTTCCCTCCCAGGTTCGGACCTGGCTGGGTCTTGTGTAGGACTCTCGGACCGCTTCCTTGTCTCTTTCTCCGGAATCTCTCCTTCGGCTGCAGTCCCTCATGAGCTTGTTTCCGGGGTGCTCCTGGGTGACCCGGTGGTTGCTCAAGGGTCTGTGCGGGAGCCTGAACTTTGCGATTATAGTCTACCCACCGGGTCGGGTTTGGCTTTGTCGGCTGTTCTGGTTCCTTCGGGGACATCCGTTCTGCCTCTCTCTCGATCGCTGGGTTCGGCCCCCAGGGACCTTGCGTTTGGCTGCTGCATCACTGGCTTCCTCTCTGGGTTTTCAGGGTTCAGTGCCTTGGTGCCTGACGGAGTCCTCGCTCGATGTGTTCACAGACGCGTCGTCTCTCAGCTGGGGTTTTGTGACCAGTGCGCACCAGGCCAGCCAGGGGTGGTGGGGTCTGTCCTTCCGTCGGGCCCACAGCTCGGTGTGGGAGTTCGCAGCGGTGTGGTTTGCTCTTCGGGGGATTCGGGTCACCCGCGGATCGACGATCTGACTCCATTCAGACTGCTCCCTGGTGGTTCATTGCCTGAACCGAGGGGGTTCGATGCAGTCCTTGGCTCTTTGGCACTGGTCGCTTCGGGTGACTCATCTGCTGCGTTCTCGGGGTTTGGCTCTCCTGGCGGTTCACGTTCAGGGAGTGTCCAACGTTTTGGCGGACAGCTTGTCTCATTTCGTTCCCCTGTCCTCGAAATGGACAGTTGACACAGACTCCTTGCGTTGGGTCTGCCAGAAGTTCGGGAGCCCAGAGGTGGACCTCTTTGCATCGACATGGTCGCGGCACCTTCCGCTGTATGTGACGCCCTTCCGCGACTGCGAGGCCGTCGGGGTCGATGCCTTTCGGCAGGATTGGTCGAGGTGGGGTTACCTGTACCTCTTAACCCCCAGTTCAGGTGTTGCTCCAGGTCCTGAGTCGCTTGGAGACTTATCAGGGGAGAGTTGTCCTCTTGGCCCCTTGGTGGCCGGCCCAGCTGTCGTTTCAGGCGCTGCTTGCTCGGTGTCCGAACCTGGAGGTTTTCCCGCGGCTCCGCCTCTTTCAGCAGATCGGACTGGTGCGTCATGTGGCTGGTTTGATCTTCTCCTTGAGTCTTCACATATGGTATTTTTTACTGTAGTTTATCTTCATTTCTATAGTGATCAGGTGGCTTCCTTGTTAGTGTCCCATCTGCAGGTTTCGTCTCGGCGACAGTATTAAGTTTCCTGGCGGTCCTTCTGTTTCTTTTTAACTCTTTGTCGTTGTACTTCGCTTTTGGTTTGGGTGGTGTTGTCCTTTCTCTCTTGGTTGTTCCAGGACCGTCATCTTATGCTGAATACTGTCGCCTCGTATCGTGCGGCGTTGGCGGAGCCGCTTCAGGTTGCTTTCGGTATAGATGCTACTTCTGTGCCGTTTTGCATGCTGTCTCATGTGTTGTTTCACCTATGGCCTGCTCATGCGCTGCCCGAGCCGTCCTGGTCATTGGACAGAGTGCTCTCCTATCTCTCTTCTCCTCGGTTTGTTGTGGCCCTTTCGGTTCAGGATTGTTTCTCGAAGGCTCTCTTCCTGTTGACATTGGTGTCTGGGGGTAGGGTCGGGGAGCTTCATGCTCTGCTCCGACGCAGGGATTTCTGCTCCTTCGGTCGTGGTGATCGGTTTGTTCATCAGCCGTCTCCTCCTTCTCTGGCGAAGAATGAGACGGCCTTTTCCGGAGTGGTTCTTGGGTTGTTGATGCTTGGTTGGTCAGGCAGGAGGTGCATCATGTTTTGTGACCAGTTTCGGTCCTCCGCCGTTATTTGCGCGCCACGGCTTCTGTGTCAGAGGACGTGCTTTGGGTTGATCAGGTTTCGCTCTTTCCCTGTTTACGGCTATGGGTCTCCCAGGTCGTCCGCAAGATTATCAAGTCTAGCCAGCCTGCGGTCTATCCCCGTGCCCATGACGTTCGTAACTTCGCTGCTCTTGCTGCCGTCTTTGGCAACATGTCCTGGGCTGACATTCGGGAGTGGGGTTTTTGGCGGTTGAACAGTCTTGGCTGCGCGCTACCGCATGAACGTTCCTGGGCCTAGTCGGGCCTGTGTCGCTTTGTGTTGGCTGTTACAGCCAGTTGTCTTATCTTCGGGTTGAGGAGTGAGCGACAACTGCCTCCCGGGGTTAGTCCCTCGGGTTTTCCTCTGTGGGTAGTTAGCTCTGGGGAGCCATAGGGGCTTTCCCCAGAAAACAAGTGTTTAATGTAATGAAACGCCATTGTCTGGGTGAGCCCCCAGAGGCTTCCCGGGAACCCTCCCTTCCCCAGGTCAGCGTTTTTTTTTTTGCGTGTTTGATGTCCAGCCTCAGAACTGAGGCTGAACATGAGGCAAACAAGCAGAACTGAGGCGTGGTCCGGGGCTTCCGCTTTCCCTTCGCAGGGAGGGGGAAGCTGCGCAGACAACGGCGCGACGATGTGTAATTACCTAAGTGTAGTTACAGGATGAGAGCTATGCTCGTGGTGTCCCGTATTCCCAGCAATGTGATGTCATACTCGTGTGTTCGCTTCTGTTTGGGGGAGTTCTATCCTCTTGTTCGTCTTTTTGTAACAATTTTCACCAGAATAGGGGTTTGTTTTGGGACGCTTACCTTTCTGGGTGCCTGACCCGGTCGATGGCAGACATAGAATGCTTCCAACCACACGAGGGTTTCCATAGGCCATTGCTCCTCATGCCTCTTCTGAGGCGGCTAGGTTCTGGCTCGTCGTCCCTGGTAGGCCCACAGAACTCCATACACGTGACTGATGCCAAAGTCTGACATTAGCACATGAGCCTGGATAGCTCCGGGGAGCCTCCGGGTCTCGCCCAGAAAATGATGTTTCGTTATATTCAACGCTGGTTTTATAGTTTCTGAACATAAAAGTACTTATTATATATCATGCCATGGTTCCCAAGAAAGTCAGTGGTAAAGTTCAACCTAAGAGATCAACTGTGAGGATGATCATAGAGCAGAAACAAGAGATCATTCGTAAACATGAAAATGGTACTGTACATAGGTTGTTGAACTAGCTAGGCTGCACAACAAATCTTCAAGGGAGGAGGAGGCAGTAGAGGATGTCCCTTCCTCAACAATTAAGAAATGGTGTATAATATGGGAAGAAATGCAAAGTTTTGTTGAAAAGTGTCACGCAAATAAAGCTGTAGCAGGCCGTTGGGTTAATCTTTTAAATAACAATGTGATGTCTCACTTCAGACAAGTGTTACAACGTAGCGAAAAACAAATGTAGCTTGACAGGTTTTCAATGAGAAAAACAAGCAGTGAGCCACAACCAGGTCTTAGTGGTATGCCGGCAAAACATAAGAACACATACCACAGAAAAGTCATCACTACCTGATGTTATAATGGAAGGGGGCTTCCCTTCCTAACACTAACACCTCTCAAACCCCCCCCCCCCCCCCTTATCATCATCCATATGCCAACAAGAGTCCTCCATAAAGGTGAGGTCCTATGAGGAGTTTTCTGTATAAAATATATATATTTTTTTAATATTTTTGGGGGTGTGGAATGAATTAACTCAATTTACTGTACATTATTTCTTATGGGAAATTTTTTTTTCTTAACGTTGCTGGGAACGGATTAAGGGAGCCAGTCGGCTCGGCCGACTGGCTCCCTTTGGTTCTCTCTCGGGGTGGTTCTAGATAGAAAACTATCACCTGAAGATCACATAAAGAACGTTGCGCGAGGAGCCTATGCCACGGTTTCTAACTTCAGAATTGCTTTTAAATACATGGATGGCGATATACTAGTACTAAAGAAATTGTTCACAACTTTTGTTAGGCCAAAGCTAGAATATGAAGTGGTTGTGTGGTGCCCATATCTTAACACTTTCGCGCTTTAGATTAGAGATAACTCGTCGCTGTTTTTTCTTACGATTCCGCATAACAGCCTACTTTTCTCGTCAATCGAAAAAATATTTCTATAAATTCCATTTTTTAACCGAAATGAATGGGGATACTTTTGTTTTGTAGAGAATTTATTTGCGAATTTTTGGTACCAGAATGAATATTATATCACATAAACTTCTATGAGTAAAAAAAAATACACAAAGTATGTTTGGGGGTGTGGCGAGCGTGTGGCAGTGGGTTCCCTTTAGCCGTTGATATATCCAACACGTGGGAAATATCTGTATGTGTTATGTATATGTCTGTGTAGGGAATTTTACTGCGATCACTGTCATACAAATTATAAAATGTTTCAACAAGTACAAACATGACAAACATCAAACGAACGAAAACAATGCGTTCGTTTCTGCCGCGAACGCATACTGAGCGACGTGGTTCTATATTTGGCGCTTCTCTTACACATGCTTTGTACAAATGTTATACAGTTCATCTTATAGAAAATTTTATTGCGAACACATTGGTATAAAAAAGAAATACGTACATAGAAAAGTAGGGTCAGGAAACGTATAAACTTTCCAAGCATGATTTCCCCCCTGTGTTTTCGCCAGTGCGCTCGCGGCTAACTACTCTCCACTTCACACACTCTTGCGGGTGGGCAATTACCTATATTAAACATTCATATGCATATGTCCGTGTAGAGAATTTTATTGCGATTCCAATGACACCAAAATTAGCAATGTAGGACAACTGTAGGTTTCGCAACCATTAAGAGAGTGGAAACATTTTGTTGCTGTTTGGCGCTCTCGGCGAGTGATCTGCGTAGTTTTTTATTTGGTGTTGATATTCCTTATGCTTGGGCGGCATTTTATAGGTATGCTCTTATAGACAATTTCATTGCGAACACTGATACCAAATTTAAATACGTGCGCCTTCAATTGTTGTCAGGACAGTCAAAAGAGTGTACACTTTTTCGGTCTTACCGTGTAGGCACGCGAAGTGCCGAAAGCATCTGGGGTATTGTTTTTTTTGAGCGCCGAGAGCGCGAAAGTGTTAAGAAGCACATCAACAAACTGGAAAAGGTGCAAAGACATGCTACTAAGTGGCTCCCAGAACTGAAGGGCAAGAGCTACGAGGAGAGGTTAGAGGTATTAAATATGCCAAAACTGGAAGACAGAAGAAAAAGAGGTGATATGATCACTATGTACAAAATAGTAACAGGAATTGATAAAATCGATAGGGAAGATTTCCTGAGACCTGGAACTTCACGAACAAGAGGTCATAGATTTAAACTAGCTAAACACAGATGCCGAAGAAATATAAGAAAATTCACCTTCGCAAATAGAGTGGTAGACGGTTGGAACAAGTTAAGTGAGAAGGTGGTGGAGGCCAAGACCGTCAGTAGTTTCAAAGCGTTATATGACAAAGAGTGCTGGGAAGACGGGACACCACGAGCGTAGCTCTCATCCTGTAACTACACTTAGGTAATTACACTTAGGTAATTACACACACACACACACACACACACACACACTTTTTTTTAATAATCTCCACCTGTTAAAAACATCTTGTACAGTGGATAATGCTATTTACCGAATTTCTGGATTGCAGTGTGCATCGTTGGATTCTATGTAAATTTGCTGATGGCATTTTAATTAATTGCTCTGTCACTTTGTGCTTTGTTTCACAATTTTTTTGAAGAAGGGTTAATAAGTTTTTTTTTGTAGCTATTGAAATTAATATCAGTAGTATTGAGGCTATGAAATGTTTTGATCTTCAATGTTTTCACCTTTATAAAATATATTGCAAGATTAAATTTATTATGTATATAGGGAAATTTTTTCAATAATTTAAAATCAAGGTTGAATAAAACTAAAATATTTATTATGATGAATTAAAGATGATTATTGAAGTTATTATACTGTATTTCCTTACAGATTAATCTTGGCACTTGTGTTCATTATTTAAACTCTGGAAATAATGTATACAAGTATTTACTGGGAACATGAAGTACAGTCGAGCCGATGATTCCAACAAGCAGGGAAAGTGTCCGAACCCTGTGGAATATTTTTTCTTCTTTATCTGACATTTGTCTGTCCATTAGGTGATCTAATGGGCAGTAGGAAATTACTACGTAATCTTTTTAATCTCACACTATTCAATATATCAAGTATTAATATTTTTACATTTTTGTGAAATTCATTGGGTTTCCTATCCTGTATAGTCCTATATTACTTTTATTATTTAATTCTGAGGAAGCATGCCAGCTTTCATGTATAGTATTCCTGTTTGGTTGTGTAAATATGGTTACTGCTGCACTTATATGACAACTAATTAAACAGGTTTTTTAACGTTTCAGTAGATGAAACCAGTATGATGTGGCAAGTTTTCACTGTCAGGAAAGTCATCGTAAAAAGGGCTTTGGTAAAAATCTGTGTTTTCTAATGTTATATATGTTTGAAGTTCTCTTTATTTTTAAAGACTTATCCACCAGTACTGTATCAAGTATATTCCATTCCAGAGTTGAGTGACTGAAATATTTGCACAATGTTTCACTAGAAAATCTACTTCATGTTTAGGCAATTTTGGACTCTTGCATTTCTAGAGTCCTTACAGTTTATTGCCAGCCCTAGGTGTGGGTGTGATAAAAATGAACTTAGACAAACCCCAGATAAATCCCAGGTACTGTTTAACCCTCCTGAAATGTTTAGACTTTCTGAGGCAGTGGTCAGCTTCACTTCCTTTGACCTTACAGTACTGAAAGAGTCTCTCTTTCTCTCTCTTTATTTTACTTTATTATTTTTTTCCAATTTCCATTTATTAAAAAAATTAATTCCAAGCTGAACTGAATTGCTTGCTCAAAAATATAGGTCATATATTATTTTATATTATCTATACCTAATACCAAACTACATAAGTGAAAGTGTGCAACAAGAGTTTGTTTATTCTCGGCTCATCTTAAGAGAGAAAAATTGAATAATTTTTTTTTTATCATTCCTCTAGTGCAACAACAAATTTTGTTGCAATTTCCAAATTGACTGGTGAAAATTGTGTTCATTTTTGCACTTTTATATACTGTACTGTAGGTGTATTCCTCACTTTGTGTAATTCACTGACCTTCATATTTTGTTTAGTGGCTGCTTATCATTGTTTGAATTTTGATTTAAAAACTTTACTATTTAATATTCATTTTAGCTTATCACAAAAATTGTATCTGATCAGCCACTGCATCGTTGTTATCTTTTGCTCTTCTCTTCCCTTTTTATTTACCCTCACACTATCATCCCTTCCCTTTCTTCTTTGTTTACCTCTGCCACCTTCCCGTCGCTATTGTACCTTTTTCTCCGCTCATCCTCTTCTGTCTTTCCTTCCTCACCATCCCTGGCATGACATACTAGTTAGTAAAATGTCAAAGTTTCACAAAGCTTTGTCTGGGTTGAACCTCCTTTTGTGCTAGGAAGTAAAGTAACGTTTAAAATAAATCTGGTACAGACCAACACTTTTCTTGTGTCAGGTGGATGCTTACCAACTCCTTGTGAGATGCTCATCTAAGTTTGGGAAGTGTGTCATTAGAAGCAAGTATTTCCCGAGTCTCCTGCCGTCTTATTGGAAATGGTTACATTATCTCTTTACTAATAACTTTTTAATTATTTAATCATTGATAATTATTAGACTGGATAAGGAATTTAAATCATATTTATAATTTTATATAAATATTTCATTTATAGTAGAAGGGGTTATTTAGGTGACTTTTCAAGTTATATTGATTATTTAACCTCTGGAAGGGTGACTACACGATGGTGTTAGCACAAACTTGAGAGGTAGAAGTGTATATTTATATCATTTATCTTCTTGTTAATCTCATGAATTTAGATCTATCACTGAATGAACAACATATTCATTTGTCTTTCCTAACAGTATTTTTCACCAGAATGGTAGTTTGTGTACTGCTACAGACATTTTAACAAATGATTACACTGATACTTGTAAAATTCTGTGAACTATATACATTTTGAGTGTAATGCTTACTCCAGCAATGTTACTTTAGAATTTACATCCACATTGGACTGCCCTTTGTAATATACACTGGAGTGAGCTTCTGTTCTGAAATTTGCAAAACCTTTAGAAAGACTTGCAAGGATTTCTTGAATAATGTTGGGTTGAAATTAATTAGCTTCGAAGGACCACTTAGTTAATGGACTGTGTATACATTCTGTATGCAGGTCTGTGTACAAATAATTATAGTAGCGTGTCAACTAACCTTAGCCACCTATTCCACTGGGTTTTATATTCTTCAGTTAAATTGTGATTGCCAGTGGGTTCATTAAAAAATATATATATAAAAGCACATTATAGTTAATGAGAAAATGTTGTAATGTTTGAGTACGGTGAACTGCAGATATTTTGTGTGCGTACTCATTATTGAGCTTTTCTTGTCTCCTTGATGCTGCTTCCAACACCACCTTTTGGCCAGTGACTTTAACAATTGTATATACAAATTTATTTTATGTTAGGAAAAGAGCCAAATTACAGTATGATAAATTGCTGTTTACATAACTAGCAAGTTTTAGTAGGTTTGTGGGGAAAGTGCAACTCACGAGAGAACTTTAATATTTTTTAAGGAAAAAGGTCGGGTGTGGCTAAGGGAATAATAATATTGTACAGTATATAATTTTTTGTATACTGTACTTGTTTATTCAATGTAAAATAAATGGCACTTGTATGAATTAAAAACATTTTATATAAAATGCTTAGGAAAAGATCTCCATGGAGGTTTGACCCCACTCTGTAAAAGTTGTGGACGAGATTACCAAAAATTAACATAGTGCCTCCCTTATAAATACTTGTGTACAGTTGAAATATTACAGCATTGAGAAGGCTATGTTCTCATTATAACTGCTTTATATTGTAATGAAATGGGCAATCACTTAATTAAAGAGGTCAGTCAGTCAGTGATATTACAAGATAGTTTTAGAATTCAAGAGCTCAGCATTGTTCAATAAGGGTAGTAGTAAATTATGTACCGAGTTAAAAGTTATTTAAAGAAAGCAAGAAGGGAAAAATCCTGTTGAGTTGCCAAATAAAAATACATGTTCAAAGTGCATGTATAACTAATAAATTGTATTCATTCATTTTTGGGGAAACTCTAGTCTAGGGTGAATGACAGCAACACTAGAGATGAGCAGTGTATATATATTGAGGACTTGGTGTAAAGAACTATTTAGAGGGCTTCTTAGTTTTGTAACATTTTATGAATGAAATGTTTTTAATTAATTTAAATTTGTTTTGGAGCTTCTCTGAAGGTATGAAGAAGAGAACTGGATATAATTATAGTAGTATGTAGGCAGCAGGAAGCAACACCTGGTTTTGAATTTTGATGGTACAATCAAAGTTCTCTCATCTCTGAACTCTGTGCCTGGAAAGAACATTTGAAACTGTCGACAAAGAATTAAAGAGGAGTTTATTCCACAAGAAAAGGATGATAATGGGTGCTATAAATTTCTTTGTTAGGTGTATTTCAGATGGCAGAAAAACTACCATAGGTTGTAGTTTGTAAAATTGATATATTAATGGCGAGAAGTGATTGATAAAGTCATATCCTGCTGTTCTTGACCCAGATTGAATGGTTTTGTGTCGTGTACAGTAAGAGGACACTTTATTATAATTTAAATTTAGTATTTAAATTCTCTCTTGTGGCTAATTAACAATAGGGCAGGACTTTGTCAATACTTTTTCGACTATAAACATTGAAATTTTACCACATACAATTTGTGAACATGCTGATATCTTAAAAATCTAAATCATAATTTGATGTGAATACTGTACAGCATATGCAAGTTTTAGCAATGGTATGCTTGTGAACTGTTCCATTATTCTGAAAAGAGAATAAGGTATTCCAAATTAGGTTTAGGGCCTGAGATGCTATATATGAGTTACTTTCAGTTGGAAACAAAAATATAAATAATGCTTACGAAAGTCACCAGTGATAAAACTATTAATGGCCAAGATGGAATTACTGCTGATGAGGCTCGTTGCTTTACCCAAAGTGTGCTTGTATGTTCTTTATTTGAAGCCGTGAATCTTTATAAGAGTATGTAGTTCCAATAGTATGTTGACCATCTTTCAGTCTCTCACAAAGCCTTGACCTTGTTGCATTACAGTAAATACACTGTGCAAAAGCATGATGTATTTAAGTCTTACATACACTGGATGTTATAAAAGTTTAAAGCTTTGAGCATTTTGGTTTTGCAACACAGTATCCATAGTAATTTGTACTAATTGGCTGATATTTGCTGAGTGCTGGACTACACTAAGTCAAGCTAGTTGCAAGTTGTTCTGACCACTTAGCCTTTCCTCTAGCATGATTCTTTTTATAATATTAATTCTGCCGTTCAGTAGTAAAAATATGAGAGTTTAAGATAAGAAAATTGTTGAGCAAGAGAAAGCTATCAGTTTTTTGAAGCATAAATAAAAAAAGGTGTATTGTTAAATTTCATGACTTTGCATTGCATAGAATGAAGAGAAATAAATGTATAAACATTAGGTAACAGAAATCTTCTAGGAGATAGGTTATGCTTCAGTAGGAAGTGATTTTGGGTAAATATTCTTGTTCACATCTTGACATAAATATGTTCTGGAGCAACTTCAATGCACAGTACTACTTTGTAATTATATATCTATACTGGTATATTAAATTTAGTCAGTATATTTTCAGATAGAATTTGAAATTACCAGTTTTTAGAGTGAATTGATTGTGTAGGGAAATTTGAGTGTAAGAATGGAATGATTAATGATTTTAATAGTGTTTTACCCCTTGTGTGAGCTCTCACAAGCACTCTCGCTGAACAACTCAACACCTAACCAGCTAGACTCTTGATTACACTTCAAGGTTACATAGCCATCATTTATATTGATTATAAAACAAAATATATTTTTTTTCTCAAGTGAACTTCACTTGTACTCTTAAGTAATCGTTATTTTAGGTTAAACGTCTCGAGGCTCATATCCATACTTCCAGGATTAAATGAAAATATGGAATATCAAATTAGTTGTGTTAGAATAATGAGATGCTAATGGTATGTTTGCATGTTGACTGTGTTGTGAGGGTGAAGTGTTGAGAATAGTTGTGCAATAGCAGAACTGTTGACTTGCGCACAGTTGTGACCTTGTAAAGATATGCGGGTAACCTGTATCTGTGTTTGTATAAAACCTAACACAAAGTTTTAATTTTTTTTTTTTTTTTGGAGGGGGGGGGGGCTTTGTCTTGTATGTTCAGCATTACAAGTATATCATTTCAAAACTGCTTAAGAATTTTACAGTAACTTGCCAACTTAACATCAGCAATAGGATATGTAAATATGAATGACCTTTACAAGTGAATGTAATCAAAAGTTACACTTGCCTTCTATTACAAAGAGAACACGAAACGTGTTACGTACATGTATTAATGGTCAATTATTTACGTATGTCAAATTATTTCCTCCTCTTTCTTCCCCTGTCAATTGCTTCCATTCTTGTTATTTGTGCAGTGCTCCACTAATCTGTTAAGGTGGGAGGTATACCAGGTTATTAAGGTGTGAAGATATACTGTGTATATATTTGTTTGTATATAGAATTATGTTAATTATTAATGGCTTAACCTCCCACCGAAGGTTTGTATTGAGCACGGGGAGTTGACACTCTACTCTAGTTCCAACAGTACAAAAGTTCTCAAATTGGCCATTTATCTAAGCATTTAATGTTTTTCTCTTTATCTTGAAGTTAAAAAAAATACCAACTTTTATTCACCCGATTAATACAAGCAAAGGCAGTAGATTCATTGTAATTTTAACTATGTTCTTTTTAATTTATAGGAAAATAGAATATTTTATTGTAAATAAAGAATACTTCTTGTAAATGCATTTTAAATAATGCCTCATTTATAGTTCTCTTGTATTTGGGTAATTGCATTACTCATTCAAAATATTAGTGTAATCTCATCACATTACATACATTTTCATCAATATTTGGGCAAGCAAAACATTGAAATAGAGCAATATTGAAGGCCCTGGAGGTTTCTGAATAGTTTAATATATACTTGCTGCTCAAGTGAACCATAAACTAGCAAAGGGATGAAGTGGAGAGAGAGATTGGGAAGAGATATTCACCATAAATAATGCAAGGGAATCTGAAACTACCTAAGTTGTAGTGAGACAGACAGCAGATAGTATGGCAGGTTGCCCAGCCTATCTTTGTAGCTGTAACCATCATCACTACCAGAGTTCCCCATTTACAAGGTCCCCTCTCCTTCACCACCTTCCTCACCTTCCTTCCCTCTTCCCCCTCGCTGTCTGGCTCATTGTTGCCGTGAGGGGGCTTGGCAGGTGGCTGCCGGAGTATGATGCTCCTTGGGACAGTCCTCTATCCTTTTGTAGCCTCATGCTCCTGCTGCTGTCCTCTCTAATTGTGCTGGATAACTTTTTCCTTTCCTTCTGTTTCGTTTTTCTCCCCCCTTTTTCTCCTTTCTCATTGTGATTCCCCGCCGACCTTTTGCCTGTTACGATTCTTTTTTCAGCCTTCTTTTATTTTGACGTCCAGGTGTTTAGGGAGGCATACTCTTGCACCTGTAGAACTGTAGTACCCAACTTCTCAAGCGAGGGGACCCTTTATTGTCAATCCTCCTTTCGTCACTGAACTCGATCTTGATGGACTGATAGTTCTTAAGGTGGCGTTTGTGGGGCGTATACTCACGACACACCCCTGAGTGGGGGGGCCCCGGCAAGATCGGCAACATGTCTCTTGTTGGGTGTCCTGCCCCTAATTGTGGCTCCGTGGTGGGTGTGGGGGCACATTCGTGAATGAAAGTCTTTTCCTCGTTTTTATGTCAGATAATGTTCTTCTTGTACCTTCTCAGGCTCGTGGGGCAGGCGACCAAGCCCCTGAGTCGGACTGTGTTGGAAGACCGGGCTCTGTAGCCCCTGCTGCATTGGGCCCCGACCTGGCTCCTCCTTTGACCCTCCTGACTACTCCCCTCAGCTCCCCTCCCTCCTCTGAGGTAGGGTCGAGTTCCCAGCCCCCAGTGATGACCACCTCGTCCCCTGGCACGACTCTTGTCTCTCATTGTGACTACTGCGCCTTTTACCACCTCTCACTCTGGGGGTTCTCAACGCCGTCCCCACCACAGCCGCACTCTCACGATCCCTTCCAATACTAATACTTACAACATTTTGTTTGGTCCCGCTACATGGGCTAAATACTTTGATCTCACCATCCGGATTCTACTCCTCCTCCATTTCTCCCTATCTTGTTGATTCAGTGGATGCCTCTGTTACTGTTAACCCCACCGAGTGTCGTCGCTGCTGCTCCTCAGGAGGCAGCTACTCACTTAGCCGCTTTGTCTTGCATTCGGGAGACCCCTGTTCGGGTCTCCAAAAACGCTCTGTTAAATATCAGTGTTGGCACTGTTGACCCACACCATGTTGCAACTGGTGTTAGAGACCTCAAAGACTGCCATAAGGATATTAAACATATCCTCGAAACCCAAGGCCATTCTGTCCTCCAGGTGGACACGTTTACTCGACCCCCTCGTGGTCGTCGCCGTCAGCCCCTTCGAGTTGTAAAAATCACCTTTGATAGTAGGGCCCTTCCGCCCTCTATTATTCTTGCCGTTGCCAGATGCTCCGTTCAGGAGTACATTCCCTCTCCTAGACTATGCAATAAGTGTTGGAAGTTCGGGCACGGTGTCCTCAAATGCACCAGTACTGTGTATCTATGCCCCATGTGTGCGGACGATAGTCATTCTAAGTCCGAGTGCACTTCTCCCCAGGCTTGCTGCCTTAATTGTGGTGAGGCCCACCCTACCTTCTCACGCTCGTGTATACACTACAAACTCGAGGAAGCCGTCCTCAACTTGAAACACCATGATTGTCTGTCTTTTCCTGAAGCGAGACTCCAAGTTCGTTGTCTCACCCCTTTCGCGGGCGTCTCCTACGCACGCGTGTTGCGTTCTACCTCTTTTTCGTCCTTCTCACCTTCCTCAGTCTCTCAACCGTTTCCAGGCCTTAGACCCGAACACACCCACTACCTCCTCCCCTATTCCTTTGCCTCCTGTCCCGAAAGGTCTCCCGCCAGGTTCTCCATCTGGAGTTTCCCACCTTCCTGCCCAGTCCACCATGTCTCCTATGTCTTCTTCCCCATCTTCCCGACCCTTCCCCCAGTCTCTTGACCCTCCACGCCGCCTGTCTGTCCAGGCTGATGTCCATCATCCTACCAGCAATCTTCATGTTGTTTACTCCCGTTCCTCTTCTCATGCTGAGACCATTGAGTCTGTCGCCCGGTACGTTGTTACTGGAACGCCTGTCTCTTCGAGTCAGAAACGTAAGCCTGGCTCCTCTCCTTCTTCCTCCCCAGCAGGTAAGAAGGCATCGCTTTCTTCCTCGCCCCCTCCCTCTGACTCTTATCACTACGTCCACTCCCATTTCAGTGGTCGGACCCCCTGTCCCAGATATAGAGGTTTCTTTCGCCCCCGAGGTTGCTGCCCTTGCTGAGGTGCACTCCCTGATTTCTGCCCCCCCCCCCCCCACCTCCTCCTGTCCTTGACTGCACCTCTCGGTTGTTTCCTTCTTCGGGCCCCGTCAGTTCGCCTCTGGTCTGTCCTCCCGCTCCCTTCCCTCCATTCTCGTTGAATGTCCCGACTTCCAGGACGAGCGTGTCTTGTTTTCCGACCGTCCCTCGCAGTCAATTGTCCCTCAATAGAATTCTTGGCGACTCAGATACTTTTGATATCGTTCGCCTTATGCGTTTCTGTTCTGGTATTGGCATCCTTGGTGATAAGTAGCGCCCTCTGATTATCCCGCACATTTGGTGGGGCTACATAGCCTTCCCGTTTTGGTGCCTTCTTTTGAAAATTACTTCCTTCCCTCTCCCTCACCATCTTCCTTCCCTCTCCTTCACCACCTCCCGTCTCCCTCACCACCTTCCTTCCCTCCCTCTCCCTCACCACCTTCCTTCCCTCCCTCTCCCTCACCACCTTCCTTTCCCTCTCCCTCGCCACCTTCCCTCCCTCTCCTTCACCACCTTCACTGCCTATAACCATCCCCGGACAAAGACCAGTCACCCTGGAGGCCTGGTCGACGACCGGGCCGCGGGTCGCTAAGCCCCGAAATCACCTCAAGGTAACCCTGCAAGGTTTCATGAGGGAATCTTTAGTCCCTTATCAGGGAATCTCTTGAAGTTTATTGGGAGTCTCCTATTGTGTGACTGCCAATCAGGAGGAGAGAATTAGAACTCAATTCTTGTCGTGTGTGGGTAAGTGGCTCCATTACACAGTGTGGGGCCTCTATGATTACCCGACCCTGATCTTCACACACTGCTTGGTGTAGTCTGGCATCACCTGCCTCTTGTCTTCACTCGCTCTTAACTTACTTACCACAACTTTTAGCTAGGAATAAGGTATAATAAAATGACCACAATAAATGTTTTTATAAATTTATATTTAATTTACAAATGTCCAAGACGTGACTTGCATATATTTAATATCGGTCAACTGTGAGCAACATGTGCGCACATGTTTTTCTCGTCTTACAATACCTTAATAACGTCCCAACACTGGTGCTACACAATCCAATATTGTGAATACAAAAATATATACACATCTGCAAGTGTACTTAATTAAACTTACGCTAGACAATAATGGGTAGCACGAAATTTCTGTCAATGTTCCCGAGGTCATTGAATAGTGGATATTACTATCAGTGCATTTTTTTTAAAGGTTTGTTTTCAAAATATTGAGCTGTGTAGCTGGCGGGCAGTGCTGATGGTGGTGGTGGTGGGTGTCAGGATGTGACCCTGGCACGCTGCTCCCTTTTGAACTGTGGTGACCCCGACCAGCTTATCTATGTCCACCCCGTACCCATGACCTGTGGTGACCCCGACCAGCTTATCTATGTCCACCCCGTACCCATGACCTGTGGTGACCCCGACCAGCTTATCTATGTCCACCTCGTACCCATGACCTGTGGTGACCCCGACCAGCTTATCTATGTCCACCTCGTACCCATGACCTGTGGTGACCCCGACCAGCTTATCTATGTCCACCCCGTATCCATGACCTGTGGTGACCCCGACCAGCTTATCTATGTCCACCCCGTACCCAAGACCATTCCCTCAATTTGAGTGAAGCCTGGCCCGAATGTCTGGCCCCCAGCTTTGGAGACACATTCTCTTAGGTAATCTAAAAGGGGAGGGGGGGTAGCCTCTCTCTCCTCCCACCCCTTCTCTCTCGTCTCCCCATATACCCCCTCCTCTTTGTCCCTTCCTTCTCTCCCACTCCTTATCCGCTCGGCCCTCCACCTCTCTCCCCCCTTTCTTCACCCACTCCCTCACCACATTCGTCACCTCTTCCTCCTCCCATCTCCACTCCCCTTTCTTTTATGTCTTTCTTTATATATCTCTCTTGTCCCACATATTGCTAATGGCAATATTGGCAAGTGGCAATGTCGTTATATTAAATAACATTCACACATAATATAATAGGTATCTTCTTGGATTTATGGGATGGCCTTCAGTTTTCTATGAGGGAGGTTTAGAATTTAATATACGTGTTTCATGGGATTATGTCCTTGGCTTATATAGCAGGAAATTTCTTGTTAACGTTCCCGAGATCAACGAATAATGTTTATTTCTGTAAGAAAATAATATGCTTTGAAATGTTTCCAAGACATTTCCGTAGGTGTAGCTGGCGGGCAGTGCCAAAAATTCGTTGTGGGTGTCTGGATGTGACCCTGGCACGCCTGGCACGATGTTCCCTTTCAAATTCTGGCGCCTCCGACCAGCCTATGTTCATTCCGTCCCCATGACCATTTCCTCTGCCAATGTGTGTGAGGCTACTAGCCCAAAATGTACACTTTCCAACTTTAAAAATTTATTCTCTTATAGGGGGAGAGAGACACAATGGAGAAACAAGAAATAATAGGTCACTAGAGAGTAGAGAAAGATACCAGAGCGCAAGGAATTGAGTACATCAATGTGAGAAGAGAGGCAGAAAGTCAATACGAAAATGTTATAGTAAGCAAGGCAAAGACTCAACCTAAATTGCTGCACAGCCACATCAGGAGGAAAATAGCAGTAAAGGAACAAGTAATGAAACCGAGGATAGGTGCAGACAGATTCACTATAAGCGACAAGGTGGTGTGCGAGGAACTCGATAAGAAATTCTAGGTCTTCAGGTCTTGCGAAGACCTGGAGACCTCGCAATAGATCTTGTTTTCTAGGCTCGTGGTGTCCTGTCGTCACAGTACTCTGTCGTGTAACGCTTTGAAACTACTGACGGTTTTGGCCTCCACCACCTCAGCTTGTTCCAACCGTCTACCATCCTGTTTCCAAAAGAAAACTTTCTACATTTTTTCGCCACCTTTCTTTCCTTTGCTTGAATCTGTCCTCTCTTGAAGTTGTTGGTTTCAGGCGTGCCTTTGTCAATTTAGTCTATTCCTGTTACTTCGTGTATGAGAGAGGGGAGGGGGGGATGTACTCACCTAGTTATGCTTGCGGGGGTTGAGCTCTGGCTCTTTGGTCCCGCCTCTCAACTGGTGTACAGATTCCTGAGCCTATTGGGCTCTCTCATATCTACATTTAAAACTGTGTAAGGAGTTAGCCTCCACTTCTAGGTGCTTGACAACTGGGTGGACAGTGCTTCGGATTCGTAGTCCTGAGGTTCCGGGTTCGATCCTCGGTGGAGGCGGAGACAAATGGGCAAAATGTTTCTTTCACCCTGATGCCCCTGTTACCTAGCAGTAAATAGGTACCTGGGAGTTAGACATGCTACGGGCTGCTTTCTGGGGGTGGAGGCCTGGTCGAGGACAGGGCCGCGGGGACACTAAAGCCCTGATCTCAAGATAACCACCACATCACTGCCTAATGAATTGCATCTGTTAACTACTCTGACACTGAAGATCTTCCTAACGTGTCTGTGGCTCATTTGAGTAATCAGTTTCCACCTGTGTCCCCTTGTTCGCGTCCCGTCCGTGTTAAACAGTTTATCTTTATTTACCCTGTCAATTCCTCTGAGAATTTTGTAGGTAGTGATCATGTCTCCCCCGAGCTCTACTGTCTTCCAGCGACGTGAGTTGCATTTCATGTAGCCTTTCCTTGTAACTCATGCCTCTTAGTTATGGGACTAGCCTAGTGGCATACCTCTGAACTTTTTCCGTTCACGTGTCGTCGTGAAGGAGGCTGCGTGTAGCATATAGTCACGCTCTTAACCCACATGTATGGGCCTCAACACCACATTAGCGGATACTAAGTTACTCTGGATTACCAAGGTAATTCAAGGCGGTGTTTTAGCATTTTACAATGCTAAAATACATATCTCCCTCTAATTCTTTCCATAAAATAAGGTAGCAGTACATTTGTGTGTATAGCTAAGATAGTTGATAAAAGTGTGCAAGATGCCCAAACAATGCCATCATGCAGATAAACCATCTGGTGTTCTATTGATCGGTACCAGCGTCATGTGAAACAAGATCAATAATAATAATCTTCACAACATTATTTTATTAGTGCCACTGACGCAGTGCAAGAAACGTCGTCATACAAACTACTTTACTTGAGACAAACTTAATACGATGATGATAATTAAAATATATTAAATAATAATAAATAATAACAGCCAAAACAATGATAAACGTAATAATACAAACTAGAGTTCATTTTAGTCGGTATGTTTACCGGGATGATCGTGTGGTAGTGTGTTCGTTTACTCTCGTCTTGGCTCCGAATTTCATCACCTTCAATTAAGAATAATTCTGACACTGTACTTTGCTGGCCGAGTGAACGCACCACACACTCCACTTGTCCAATTCAAGACACTATGCACGTACGTAACGTCAACTTTAATAATACTCAAATAAGTGTTAAAATATCATTAACGATCTATTTGCTTGTACAAAGTCAACATCATCATATTGACTTTCCTTGCCTTGAGGCAGAAAACTGTACATGAACTATACAAGTGTAGGTAACAGCACTATTACACACGTAATATAGAGGTGGAGACATTACCTTTTCCTCTCTTGATAACGACACACTGTCCCACAGTCACCAAGAGACTCGAGATATGGACGGTTTCCTCTGTTGACTAGAAAAATGTTGCCTTCTCCTGCCTGCACTATCAATGCTCTCTGTACACACCGCAGAAGGCCGTCGCGACCAGGAAGGAAGCTAGAGACCTGCCGTACGACCACTTTCATAGAAAACAAAAATAGCTTGCACGTGATCATAATTAAACTCTGGTTTCCAGAATGTCACAAACTCATTACATATTAAAGTGTTATCTTTGAAAAACAATTTATCTATCTCTCGTTGCAACACTGAATGGTGCATATCGAGAGAATCTTGCACCAGGTTGAGCATACACCGGATGAACATTATAACAAGGCATAAATAAGCCTCGTAGCAGCAAGGGCAATTTATAGATTCGTGCAACATTATTGTCTTACAGGTTATTGCGTAATAATACATGAGGCAGATCACAAGATTCGTGTCACCGTGGCTTCTTGCTTGGCGAAGGAGAGCGACTCTTGAAAATCTGTCGTCCACGAGCCAGCCAGTTGGCGGTGCGGGAGCGATGAGGAGCCACTGGGGACGAAGGACAGGAACGGGAGGGAGCAAGAGGGGCGACGTCTCCAGTACCTGCTCGTGGTAGCGTCTTGGAGGAGCGTCCAGCCTCTGAGGCATCTTCACCCTCAACTTCTTCCAAAGCAACAAGTGGAGAGTCTGAGCGCGGTTGAGGAGAAGCACTTTGTGTGCGGCCTTTTCCGTTGGCAAAATCTACCAGCAAACTCTGCCGACACAGCCTCTGTACGGAGGGCATATCTTTTTTATCCCTATTCTTGTTGCGCCTAAATAATTTGAATATTCCTAATGATGACTTGGTTGATTCAGTACCTGGGTCGTTAGAGACCTTTCTGCGATCTGGAGATTCTGAATCTACAGAATACCGCGAATGTCTCTTTCCACTTCCTAGGACTCCAGATGAGGCAGATTTAACAACCTGGGACGAAAGATTTTGCGAAGCAGATTCTTCAAGCAAGCATCCAGCACTCTGCCTCCGGAATGATTCCTTTTTTGGAATGTTACGCCGTCTAGAAGCAGCTCGAGGGGGTTTATCACGTGTCTCCTCTCTGTCTTGGGAACTCTCTTCTGTTGGAGTGGGCGAAGGAAGGGGCGATGGTCCTCCTGTGTAGACGTCATCTGACTCTCGCCAGCTGTCCTCTGTGCTATCAGTTCCACTTCTGTGTCTCAACTTTACTGGGTCGTGACAGCCACTGAGTCTTTGTTCTGTTGTTAATGGAGCTGCTCCACGTGCAAGAAATTCTTCTTTAGCTTTCTTAATTTTGAGGGCACGAAGGTGAGCTGCAGGGCTTCTACTTCCAGGTGCTGCTGTTGTGCGATCATGCTGGAGCTGGTTAGTGTCGTCCACTGATAGGTCCAAGTCATAAGATGAATCAACATCAGTGGGCACAGGGCTGATGGCAGGACTGGCGGATGGTGAACCACTCCACACGTCACCTGTGATTGGGTCTTTCGATTTACTTAGCCTCAATGGGGTAAGAAGTCCTGTGGTAATAAGACCCTCACTTGTATTAGACTTGCTATCTTGGACAAGTGATCCACTTGCAGATCGCTGAACCTGATGTGGAAGTTCAGGATTAGAGGCAATGACTGAGGCACTCAGCGACTTCAAAACACCACCGATGGGGCTTACAATCAGAGAACGAGATGATTCTGGTTGTGTTAATACAACATTACTTTGGGGGTAATCGCCGACTTGCTTAATTTGGCTAGCTAAAAGTCCCGCCAATATTTTCCTTTGTGTCCGAGGAGACTGCCACGGTGGAGGACTGGTTGGCGGGGACCGGAATGGACTACCAAGCAGCTCTTGGTTTTCTGTGATGCGTTGATTAAACTTCTGAATAATATTTCGGACTGCGGGAACACCCTCGTTTACAGCTTCCAGAACTTTCTTTTTCGATTCTATTGGTGAACTTGTGGGTGGTGACATGTGCAGGAGAGCAGCAGTGATGGCGGTGCTGGTAGGAAGGGGCGACGATGACACCTGTCGGGATGGAGGATGTTCTGGAAGGGAGACAGTGATGTTAAAAGCTTCTGAAGTAGGCCTACAGGTTTGGCTGTTTAATAAATTTTCCTCTGAAGTTTGCTCTTTGCCGATATTAGATATCACTGCAGCATCGTGTGGAACCACTACTGTTACTTCCATTTCATCTGTATTTAAGTCTGTGCGTGTTTCTTCTCTCTCAGCTTCTTTAGGCAAACTATCGGTTTGATTTTTTAACTTAACAGTGACTATGGCATCAGACGTTTGGGCTTGAGAGTATTTTGTAATTGCCCCATTTTCTGATTTAGCTCTTCCAATTTCTTTTATACCTGTTTTAACCACATTAGCCTTGCCACAGTGGCGACTAGGACGTTTGGAACTGTTTCTTCTCTTTTGCAAAGGAGTGGTTGGAGTGCTGTTATTTTCAGTTGGAGAAATGGGTTGGCTGTGACTTCTGCGCCAAGACACCGTGCCCGCCTCTTGCTCATCATCCTGACTGTCGACAAAAGTGGGTGTTGCTCGTGCCTGCTCGGGGTTATGGACTTCACCATATACGGTAAAAATGGTTCGTTTAGTAGGCACAAAGACATCAGGAGACCTGTCTGTACGTGACGAGTCATCTGTCATGGAGGGTAGTGCCCTGAGCCTCCGCCATGAAGCGTCGTCGGCGTCCCGGGAGTTGGCCCTTCGCACAGAAGGGTTGCGACTGAGTCTGCCAGCAGTCAGCGCCTCGTCATCATACACGGTCCTGCTGAAAGTGTAGGCGAAACACTCGTCCCTGTTGTTTTGTCCATAATTCTCGTACTCCACCTGAGGAAGAAAAGGAGGTTGTTAAAATACATAGCAGGAGATCACGACTGTGATCCTGGAGCCTGCAGTTGTTCATTTCAGTGTGAGCTATACCTATGTGACCCATGGGTGCATGATGGCCCAAGATGTATAATGCCCCGAACATGTAGCATCAAGTGCTTCTTCAGTCTTAAGGTCACAATCCGGTCGAGTGTCCCTGGGCATACCTTCAGGACCACTAGTTGACACAGCAAAGGGCTCGTTTCATGCAGGTCCACGGTTGATCCCGAGGGTCAAGGCAGTAGAAAACCATTCCTTCACTTCGTCCCTATTCCAGCTCCTTGTCCTCATAACCCTTCCCAGTGCTATATAGTCGAAATGACTTAGTGCTTTCTCCTCATATCTACCTTACCTGATTCTCTATAATGGAGTTACTTAATCGAGTTCCGAGTGTAGGATGCTACTGAGCCTCGTCTCTTGGTGAAGATGCTCGCTACATCATCAATAGTTGTCTTCGTTAAATAAGGAACTCAATTCCCAGAGAATCTTTACTTTCTGCACAATGATTTTCTAGTGAGGAAATGCTACAAGAGCCTGAAAAGTAACCGATTAGAATATAAGAGGGCGGAGTTTATAGAAGTAGTAGGATAGTAGACATCCATCAGTGTCGGGAGACTATGGAGTTGTGCTCTGGTTGTGGGTCTGGAGTGGCCTCTCCAGGGCGCAGAGCACAACGGGGTTTATAGTTCCGTGGGATTAAATATTTTGTAAAAGTAAAATATTTGAGTGAATACTGCACATGAAGTACAATAATGCAAGGTACACTTAATAAAAACTATAACTATATATATATATATATATATATATATATATATATATATATATATATATATATATATATATATATATATATATATATATATATATATATATATATATATATATATATATATATATATATATATATATATATATATATATATATATATATATATATATATATATATATATATATATATATATATATATATATATATATATATATATATATATATATATATATATATATATATATATATATATATATATATATATATATATATATATATATATATATATATATATATATATATATATATATATATATCTACAGATATTTAACACGAACATGGTGGGAACAGTACAGGTGGGAGGGGTGGGACCAGCAGTACAGGTGGGATGGGTGGGACCAGCAGTACAGGTGGGAGGGGTGGGACCAGCAGTACAGGTGGGAGGGGTGGGACCAGCAGTACAGGTGGGAGGGGAGGGACCAGCAGTACAGGTGGGAGGGGAGGGACCAGCAGTACAGGTGGGAGGGGTGGGACCAGCAGTACAGGTGGGAGGGGAGGGACCAGCAGTACAGGTGGGAGGGGAGGGACCAGGAGGTGGGATGGGTGGGACCAGCAGTACAGGTGGGAGGGGTGGGACCAGCAGTACAGGTGGGAGGGGTGGGACCAGCAGTACAGGTGGGAGGGGAGGGACCAGCAGTACAGGTGGGAGGGGTGGGACCAGCAGTACAGGTGGGAGGGGTGGGACCAGCAGTACAGGTGGGAGGGGAGGGACCAGCAGGTACAGTAGGTGGGAGGGGAGGGACCAGCAGTACAGGTGGGAGGGGAGGGACCAGCAGTACAGGTGGGAGGGGAGGGACCAGCAGTACAGGTGGGAGGGGTGGGACCAGCAGTACAGGTGGGAGGGGTGGGACCAGCAGTACAGGTGGGAGGGGTGGGACCAGCAGTACAGGTGGGAGGGGAGGGACCAGCAGTACAGGTGGGATGGGTGGGACCAGCAGTACAGGTGGGATGGGTGGGACCAGCAGTACAGGTGGGAGGGGTGGGACCAGCAGTACAGGTGGAAGGGGAGGGACCAGCAGTACAGGTGGGAGGGGTGGGACCAGCAGTACAGGTGGGAGGGGTGGGACCAGCAGTACAGGTGGGAGGGGTGGGACCAGCAGTACAGGTGGGAGGGGTGGGACCAGCAGTACAGGTGGGAGGGGTGGGACCAGCAGTACAGGTGGGAGGGGAGGGACCAGCAGTACAGGTGGGAGGGGTGGGACCAGCAGTACAGGTGGGAGGGGTGGGACCAGCTGTAACACTGTAAAAGTGTTTGGTTTAGGTTAATACATACATAGAGTACATGAGTCACAGACAAGGATCGGAGAAGCGCCAGTTGTCTGCCTGAGATCTCACACCTCTAACCGTTAATGACCCCAAGTGACCTGAGGTCAGATCATGATAATTTCACCTTGCTTCCGCTAAGCTTATAATTGTAGTCTGGTAGCCTTCAAACATGCCGACGTTTAAGGAGTGGCTTGGTAGTGCCGGAGGCTATCTACTTGTGGGCGGAGTTAGCTACTAGGTTCCCCAATATAAACTCGGAGAGCTATCGAGCAGAAAGCAATAGGAGACCGGCCAGCGGAGCAGAGCAGAGGCCAGCCGTCGAGATAGGCCGTCACCAGACGGGGGGTGACGCTGCCTGAAAATTGCAGACCCCCCCCCCCCCCTCTCTATTCAACTTAGACTCAGTCCTCGGTGAGTGAACATTAAGGTGACTTGGTCGTGTTTACATGTTGTGTGATGATCAGGGGCAGTCAAGTTGTAGGGTTCTCGAATTCTTGGATGATGACTCTCTTTAACATTTGAATTGGATTGCTTATATTATGATACTTCATGTGAAATATAATTATGAATTTATTATTTAAATTGTGTTTAACTTTGTGCCCTAGAGCTTTGAGTTGAGGATTTGAGAAAGCCTCAGTGGTTACTGGGTTCATGATATAAATGAGTACATGTTTGGAGTTGATACATGGTACAGAGGGAACATACTAATAATGAACTCATGATAACATCCTTTGAGAATTTTGTGATACAGGCAAGTTCCATTCCTTGTCTTGTATGTAATGATCATGAATGGATGGTGGCAGCATTTCGTCTTCTACTATCTACTCTTCCACTTTCTACTATCTACTCTTCTACTACTACCTATCTACACCTCTCCCTCCACCCCCTCTCTAAACTCTCACTTTCAACTAATGACCCTCCTCGCTCCTCCCACCTCTCTCCCTCTCACCCCCAAGCCCTCACTAATTACTTCACTATTCATTTCTTTCCTTTCGTTTTCTCTTATACGTTTGTGGCAGTGATTATGTATTCTAGAGTTCTCTCTAGAGTTTCGGGTAGCTGATCCAGTTACGGCGCCTTGTAGTCTTAGCACCTAGGTAGTCAAATACCTAGGTTACAAGGTGTTGAACGAGAGAGGCTGCCTTAGGAACTCTGGAGGGTGCTCTAGAATAGTTAGCTAACTGGGGACGGGATAACGGACTAGAGAGAGCTGTTTCCCCCGGCCTCGTTAGTTAACTGGGGGGTGGAATAATGGACAAGATAGAGCTATTTCCCCCCCCCCCCCCCGTTACAATGTTGGCAGCGGTGTTGAACAATGTTGTAGGTAGATGGTGTTCTTTTAACATTGTTCAGTCCCACGTGTCCTTTTTGCCGTTCAGGCGCTATCAGGGAGATCTTGACAGGTGTTTTACTTTCGCGATTTAGCGAGTTTTCAGGTTAGGAGATTGTGATTCTCTGGTGTTGTGTTTAGTGATTTTGTGAGTTTTGTGAAGTTCAGGGGATGTTCTCCAGAACTTGCGTGTGTAGTGTTTTATGTTAGTGATAAGATTTGGCGATTTTGGAACTTAGCGGTTGGTGGGTAGTGGAGCTCACCTGAGTGTGACAGGTGACCTCGCATGTCCCACGGGGACACCCAGCCACCGCTGGTCTCCAGGTCAGTGGGGAGTGGCAGGTGTAGTTCTAAGTAGTGGTTCTGCTCAGATTATTGCGATCGACTGTTTTACTCCATTTGAACGCAATAACCCGAGGTGTACTGGTATTGTACAGCATGCTAGGGGGAGGCTTAGTATGTCAGTAGACTTCACGTTGGGGACGCTCGACGTTAGATAGTCTGGTCACAGGGGTGGCAACAGTTTGGAGTTGTTGAACGGCGGAGAAGCTAGGGAGACACTCTGGGTCACGTAGGTGGCTGTAGGTTAAGGGTGGGAGTAATGGTTAATTATGTACTTAAGATTAGGAACGGTACAGTTAAGTTTAGGCTAGTGTTTTGTCTATTAGTGTTGATTTTTTTTGTGACAAGTTAAAGGTAGTGATGACCTTATTCTCTCTTCTCTAACTTTCCTCTGTTACTGTCTTATGTTCCACCAAGTCAATATCATTCAGTGTTAATTGGATTATTTTAAAAATTTAAGTGTAGTTGTTGCCAGGAGGAGAGCGGTATGACTGGACTGTGTAACCCTATACAAACTACAGGGTCACACAACAAGATGGAACACGGGTATTGTTGCCTTTCTGTTCACCCACAGGTGGGAGCCAGAAGAGAGGAGAGACGCACATACAAAAGAGGGAGACGGCTGCTGTGTACCATACTCAGGGGCGTTTATCACCACCACCACGACCAGCCCACTACCTGGAGGTCATGGCTCCACCACCACCACCACCCCAGGGGACCCCAAGATGCAGCCCTCTCGGTCGGTCAACATTGGTCTACCCTGTGGACCCCAGGACGGACGGACCCCAGTGGACCCCAAAACGGACGGACCCCAGTGGACCCCAGGTCGTTCTGCAGACGAACCCAGACGACCCAGTAAAGATGGAAGAGGAACAACGACTCCAGTCTGTCCCACCAACATCGGTCTACCCAGGACGGACCCCAATGGACCCCAGGTCGCTTGTCAAAGACCCATGGGAGGAGGAAGAGAGAAGAAAGAAGAGAGAAGAAAGAAGAGAGAAGAAGGAAGAGAGAAGAGAAGAAGAGAGAAGAAAGAAGATAAGACAAGCTGAGTGAGACACGATGCCTCGTGTCCCTTGCTGGTATCAGCATCATTGCAGGGAGCGTAATTGCAAGACAGGATCGTTTGCCTTAACTGGCCGCCCCTCCTACAAGCATGTTGCTCTGTTGAGTGATTCTTCCTGTGTCATGCG